ATCATTTTTCATTATATTCTCTTATAATTGTTTGTATTTCTGTGGTGTTGATTGTTATTTCTTCTCTCTCATTTGTGATTTTATTTCTTTTTTTATTCATAAATTTGGCTAGAGTTTTGTCAGTTTTACTGATTCTTTTGCTTTCATTGATCTGTTCTTTTGTATTGGTTTTAGTTCCATATCATTTATTTCTGCTCTGATCTTTATTATTACCTTCATTAGAGTCATTTGCTGCATCCCAAAGATTTTGAACCATTGTGTTGTCATTTTCATTTGTTTCCGTGTACTTTTTAAATTTTTCTTTAATTTCCTTCTTGACCCATTCATTATTTAGTAGCATGTTATTTAACCTCCATGTATTTGTGATCTTCCCAGATTTTTTCTTGTGGCTGACTTCTAGTTTTATAGCCTTGTGGTCAGAAAAGATTCATGGTATGATTTCAGTCTTCTTGCATTTGTTGAGGCTTGTTTTTATGGAATAAAATGAGATCTATTCTGGAAAATGTTCCATGTGCACTTGGCTAGAATGTGTATTCTGTTTTAGGTGGAATGTTCTAATTATATGTTAAATTCACTTGGTCCAGTGTGTCATTCAAAGCCATTGTTTCCTTGTTCATTTTTTTGTGTAGATGATCTGTCTATTGATGTAAGTAGAATGTTAAGGTATTATTGTATTATTATTATCTATTATTATATTATTGTATTATTATATTATTGGTTAATTCCTTTATGATGTTACTGTAATTATGTTTATTATCAACTGTTTTATGTATTTGGGCCCTTGTATGTTAAGCACATAAATATTTACAATTATTAGGTCTTCTTGTTGGATTGTCCCTTTTATTAGTATATGGTGTTCTTCTATGTTACAGTCTTTGTTTTACAGTCTATTTTGTCTAATATAAGTATTTTTACTCTGGCTTTCTTTTGACAGCCATTTGCATGATAGATGTTTCTCCATGCCCTAACTTTCAATCTGCAGATGTCTTTTGGTATGAAATGGGTCTCATGTAGGCAGCATATAGATGGGTCTTATGGTTTTCGTCAGTTCTTTCGCCCTGTGTCTTTTGATTGAAACACTAAGACCATTTACATTCAAAGTAATTATTGATAAGTATATATGTATTGTCATTTTATTACTTGTTTTGTGGTTGTTTCTAAAGATTTTCTCTGATCCTTGCCATTTTTTCATGTTTTGCTGAATTGTTTAGTGATTTGTTTGGATTTCTTTCTCTTTATTCTTTACATATTTATTAGTAGTTTTTGATATACGGTTACCATTAGGTTTTATAGAAACTCTTCTGCTTGGATTTTTAAGGAAAATATCTGTATATCCATGTACATTAGATCCTTGTAATTACATTAAAAATCCTCTTTGCATCTATTTTATCTGTAAGTATTATTATAGTTATTCACTGTGGGGAATGTAGAGGTCCTTATAACCATTCTCAAAAAATGAATGTGCCATAATTCCAGTACTCTCTCTTATATGACCAAGTGCTCACTTAACTCTGTTTAGAGGTCATTAAAAAATCGCAGGCAAGAACTTCTGCTAAATTTTTAAATAGTATTTAGTAAACAATGACAAATGTTGATATAAATGTATCATAAAATCTTTATATCTAAGAAAAATAATATTAAACAACTAATATGAAAAAATTGGTAGCTAAATAACATTTCAGGAGATGGATCTACTGCATTGATAATTAGCATAATATTTGAATTGCAAAAAACTCTTCAATTTAATGACTACAGCTCTTTTTCACTTAAGTGTCCTAGAAAAACCTAAAGGTTTTCAAGCCAAATGAATTTTGTTTAGAATTCTGTTTGGAAAATACTTTTCAGACCATAAAGTTTGAATTGTATATCCTTATAAAGACAGATTTTTAAAAAGTTAACCCTTTAAAAAATTAACCCTTGAAGACTTAAAGGTATTACTATTTGACTTTGCTCATGAGTGGAAACTTTTCATCAAAAATATTACAAGTGGAGCTTTACATCCCACTTTACAAGTGGGTACATTGTCATGGACCCACTAAAAGGTTCACGCTTGTTAGGTCATAACTCAGAGCCTTATGTGTCCATAACAAAACTAACTTTCATTAGTGTAATATCTTAGTGTTAATTCTATAACATTGTGTTCTTCCTTATTCCCTTTGATATTTTTCCCAATATATTTTAGAAGAACTTATTAAACTATATATAATATACAGTAAATTACACATATTTGAAGGATACAATTTACAAAATGTTGGCATGTGTATACATAACCACCAAAGTCAATATAATGAACATTTCCATCACATTCAAAACTTTCCTCTTTCCCTTTTTTCATCTCTCCGTGTTCTCGTCGATGTCCTGCTTGCCCCTTCTCCTAGGCAGCCACTAATTTGCTTTCTGTTACTGTAGCTTCAGTGTGCTTTTTCTGGAGTTTTATATAAATGGAATTACACAGTATGTACCCCCCTTTTTTCTCCTGGCCTCTTACTCTGCATGATTATTTCAAGATCCATCTATTTTGTGGTATGAATAGTTTATCCTTTTCATTGCTAAATAGTATTTCATTGTATAGAAATGCCACAGTTTATTTATCCATCACCTAGTGATGGACATTTGGATTGCTTCCAGTTTTTGGCTATTATAAATAAAGCTGCAGTTTGTAGCTTTTATGAATAAAGCTGCTATAAACATTGAGTGTATTTAAAATTATTTTATTTTATTTTACCACTTATATGTTATCATGGCTGTCAACTCTTATCATTCAGCATTATTTCTGTGCATCTTCCCCAGCAACTTAGTAATTAGGGAAGACTCTGAAAATAGCTAACTTTATAACCCTTTTTCTGCATTTTAGCCATTTTGCTCATTTCAGGTATTGATTATAGGAAAGTTAAGCTCTTACTTTGAATTTTGAAATTCCAACAGTCTGGCCAGCATTATCTTACCTTTTATAATATCTCTAAATAAAAATATTAAATGTAACTGAATTAAAGCCTCTGGTCCTTAATTAACCAAAGAGTTTTGCAAATACATTTGCAAATACACTCTAAGATGGATATTTTTTCTATAGAGAATAAATGTTTCCTAATGACCATGTTTTATTTCCATAAGTAAATGTGGCAGTTGAATCTTTCTCAGTTTTCAAATTTTCTCTAAACAAACCCTATAATGCAATATTAAAAGAAAATTGAGACACATAATCTAATTCATGGGTTTTATCATTGAGAAACTTTTTACTGTTCACATTTTTATACTTTAAAAAATCTTATTACTTTAGATTTTACTTTTAAAAGGAATGTTTTATATGCAATAAAATTTCAATCTCTTGACTGAAATTCCAAGTCTCTTTTTAGAAAGGAAGAGGGGCGCCTGGGTGGCTCAATTGGTTGAGCGTCCGACTTTGGCTCCGGTCATGATCTCACAGTTTGTGGGTTCGAGCTCTGTGTTGGGCTCTGTGCTGACAGCCAGCTCAGAGCCTGGAGACTGTCTTTGGATTCTGTGACCCACTCTCTCTCTTACCCTCCCCTGCTCACGCTGTCTCTGTCTCTCTCAAAAATAAATAAAACATTAAAAAGAATCTTAAAAAAAAAAGGAAGAAAAAAGGATGAATAAAGAAAAATATGCAAAGTTTAAAATTTGTTGCCTTTCTACTTTTTTATTTTTGCTCTTGACAGTGTGTGTTCATGTGTATGAAGATGTGTCTGAACATACATGCACTCTGACACATGCATGTATGAAAACTATCATTGTAAAGCACAAGATATTAGCAATTTATTATTTATAAATGCAATAAATTTACATTCTACTGATGGAGCACCTGGGTGGCTCAGTTGGTTAAGCATCCGACTTCGGCTCAGGTCATGATCTCATGGTCGGTGGGTTTGAGCCCCACATCGGGCTCTGTGCAGACGGCTCAGAGCCTGTGGCCTGCTTCGGATTCTGTGTCTCCCTTTCTCTCTGCCCCTTCTCTGCTCATGCTCTGTCTTTCTCTGTCTCTCAAAAATAAAGGTTAAAAGGGGCGCCTGGGTGGCTTAGTCAGTTAAGCGTCCGACTTTTGCCTAGTTCGTGATCTCGCGGTTTGTGGGTTTGAGCCCCTCGTCGGGCTCTGTGCTGACTGCCAGCTCAGAACCTGGAGCCTGTTTCAGAATCTGTGACTCCCTCTCTCTCTGACCCTCCCCTGTTCACGCTGTCTCTCTCTCTCCTAGAAATAAATAAAAAATATTTTAAAAAATGTTAAACAATTTAAAAAAATAAATTTACAGTCTATTGAGAATGGAATGTTAATTTGGGGGTAATTTCTTTTAAAGTAAAATGGCCTTAGTTTTATTCACCTTCATGGTAAATATATAACCTTGGTACAAATATATGCACAGCTGTGTTGGTGTATCTTCTTCTTCTTTTTTTTTTTTTTCAATATTTTTATTTATTTCTAGGAGAGAGAGAAAGAGAGAAAGTCAGCACAGAGCCCGACGCGGGGCTCGAACCCACGAACCGTGAGATCATGACCTAAGCGAAAGTCGGACGCTTAACCGACTAAGCCACCCAGGTGCCCCTGTGTTGGTGTATCTTCTTAAAACACTAATCTTGTTACACATTTTTAATTGTGTACTAAGAAATTTTAACTATAGGTTGATATTAAAGACAATATAATTCCTTTCCTAGTAAAATTCTATATTTTCAAATATTAAATACTTTTAAGTATATATGTTTTGTTGAATTATTGACTTGGGAATATTTGTGATATCTTCAAAACTCTTTCATTGCTTTTTATTATACTTTAAAACTGATTGAATGTCTTTTGATCTTCCTTCTATAATTGGTAATTTTTCTTCTTATTAAGATATAATGAATTTTGTGTAGTTCCAGAATGGGAATCAATTTTGGTTTGTTTTCTTTTGCATATCCTTTTTTATAAATAAAAGCTTTATTTTCCAGGCCAAAATATGAGTTAACATTAGTTTTAGGCTAAGTAAAAAGCTAATATCAATTTTTTCTTTCAGATCTCTATAAAAATGGACTCCAAAGAGCTAACTTTGTACCATTTATTGGCATCCTAAAGGTAAGGAAAATCACTTACTTGTGTTCACTTATTAATATTATATTGGTTGAAAATTAAGGGCTTTTATAGGTTGCCTATGGTCTTGCATTCAAGCAGAATTCATTTTGATATTAGATAGTTATAGTCAAAGACACTTAAGGAGAAAAGAATGTTTTTTTATATAGTATTCATCAATGTGTACACAGGAGAAATTATAAAATATAGTCTAAATTATTGTCTAACTGAAACATTTGATAGTTTGCATTTATAAATCTTAATTTGAGGTTTGCTCATAAATATTATAGTGGAATGTTTAAACTTATACATTGATTTCTGAAAAAAATGTTTAATGTTCTCTATTTCTTTCAGGCTAATGGTCTTTAACGTGTTTTCTCAGCTATTAAAGTTGCTATTCTAGAGTAGCATTATTACAAAAATATTCTAATATATTTAAATGTGATTGCCATCAAGTTATGAAATTATGTCAAGTTGGGGCACGTAAATAGTTTAAATATTTGTGTGTATCATCACTGCATGGAGTTTGAAATAGTCTTCATTATCAGATGATTAAGAATAAAATAGCCTCTTTTTTCACTGTTAATTTAAATAAATTTTTATACAACTATTCAATAATTCTATATTTTACTAATATTTATTAAGAACCTACTATGTGCAAAGTGCTACTTTGGGCATAATGGGTAATGCAATCATGAAATAGGCTATGTTTCTTTCTCTCAAGTCATTTATAATCTAGGTGGGCATATAGTACATACACAAATATCTATAACACAAAGCTAAATGAAATACCAAAAAATATACCAAAAAGAAGCATATGTGCCAAAATATAATTCCCATAGTTCTTAGTAGCATAATTTTTCCCGGTCTATAGCAATATAACTAAAGAAGGGATGAAGTTGTATTATTTTTTAAAACCTAAAACCTCAAAAATTCTTACCAAGAAGGAAAAGCAAAACTACTTTTTTCTGCAGATATTCTAAAGATATAGTCAGACAATCTTTTTCATATTGTTGTTGGTACTTTATTCCCTGTGCTATACTTGGAAGAATTAAAACATGTATTTCCTTGAACAATTTTAGGTTCTCAGAGGCTTTTAATTTCTCTGAGATATTTATAGATGTAAGGAAAAGTACTCTTTGAAGATTTATGCTTTAGTCATTTTTTCCCCTTTATATTCATGTTTTGTGTTGGGGGGAAGGTAAATCTACAGTGTTTTCTTCATGCTGGGAATCCAAAGTAATTTCATATATGTAGATACCAAAATATAAACAAGGAAACTAAGAAAAATGGGTACTAAAAATAGTGTCTTCATGTAGCATAGAATATATAAAATGTAAAGAGAGAGGGCTCACAGGATAAAACAAGTTAAAAATTCTCAGGGAACTTTGTATGTATACTTTTTTTTTAAACCACAAACCTTATTTTTTGGCCAGTAACTTGTCATACTTTAATATATAATAGCATTATTAATAACTAAATTGGCCAGATTGGGTTTAATTTTTTCGCTTTCTTACCCTCATTTTTTTTGAGATGAAGGAACCTAAAGAGATAAATTATCCAAATTTGAAATTGAACAAGAACTAAGATAAATAATGTACAATTTGAAACTGAACACAAAATTCCTAGGAAACCGAATACTGTATTGGATAAGAAAGTATTTAAAATGTCCCATTTATTCAAAAGATTTTTCACATGTAACAAAACATCAGCCAGGTAAATACATGCTGTGGCTGGTTTCGCTGGCATATGAGGTTTCCTTTGTAAGGAAAATTTGTTTCATATGTATTTAAATGACATTTTGCCTCTTCACATATGCTAGCGAGCGTTACCCTTGTATTTTATCCCTGCTGAGAGAAATAGATAGAAGTCAGTCTTAAAATAAGTAGAGAACCTTGGTTTAATAAAAAGAGACTATAAACCAGATAGAAATTTAATTGGGGAAAAGGTACAGTGTATATTCACTTTTTCTGTTATGTTCTCTCCTATAAATCAAGTGGTAACAAATTGGTAATTCACTACAAGAACTTGTGATTTGTTGCTTGTAGTATATAACAAGAGCCTATATAAGTTCTTGGTAAATAATAATGTTTTTATAAGATAGTAGAAATGATGAGGAGGACTAATATGCTATTAAAAAACAAGATGTATTATATTCATACAATGAATTATTGTTTTGCCATTAAAACAATGAAATTTTGACATTTGCTATATTGTGGATGAACCTTAAAAACACACTAAGTGAGAGGAGTCAGAAACAAAAGGCCAAATATATGATTCCACTTATATGATGTGTCTAAAAACAGCATATTCAGAGAAACAAAAGTAAAATAGAGGTCACCAGGGGCTGAGAGGAGAGGGGAATGGGTAGTTATTATTTCATGGGTGAGTCTGTCTTTGGGATGATGAAAAGGTTCTGGAAATAGACATTAGTCATGGTTGTATAACATTGTGACTGTACTTAATGCCATTGAATTGCACACTTAAAATGATTAAGATGATAATGTTTTTGTTATGTATATTTTATCACAATTTATTAAAGAATAGAATAGAATAGAAAAAGTAATAGTACTGGAAAGGATATAGAAAATGTTCAGGTACATCTCCTCTAGGAAGCCCTCCTAGAGTAACTCCTTCAAACAAAGCAAGGCAAAACAAAACAAAACAAAAAACTAACCCTTACATATAATTTCCACTGCCATTTAAGTAGGGAGGCTCCAGTTTTGCTCTTACTTGCACTTTGTTTGAATTTATCTTGCTCTTCATTTTCTAATTTACTAAGATTAATTTTTTTAAAATCTCTTTTCAATCTTCTTTCCTAAATGCATTTAAGGCTATGTATTTTCCCCTAAATGGCTGCATTCATTACATTTTTATATTTAGTATTTTCACTGTTAAGTTCAAAGTATTTTCTAATTTCTATTGTGATTTCTTCTTTAACCCATGTATTACCTAGAAGTATGTTTCTTAATTTCCAAACAAGCATATGAAATTTCCTGTTGTTACTATTGTCTTAACAAATGCTTAATTGCACTGAGGTCAGAGGATATGTGTGCAACTTAAATCCTTTGAAATTTGTTGAAATTTGCTTTATGACCTAATATATGGACGATTTTTATAAAAATATTCTCTGTATTCTTAAAAATAATGAGTGCTCACGTACAGTTGTATGGGATAGTATATATAACACAGTATACCCATTAGATTAGAATTGTTAATTGTGTTATTCAAATTTTTATTATTTTTCCCCATCAATTATTATGAAGCTTATGGAAAACATCTCTCACTATGATCATGAATTTATCTGTTTCTCTGATAATTCTGTCATTGACCTTACATATTTCCAGGCTATGTTATAAGTTGCATGCAGATTTAAAATGATTAAATATTGCTTGTGAATGGAACTTTGATAATGAAGTTTTTTACTAAGTAGTGATACAAGTTTCTTTGTTTCAAACGTAGTCATAATTGTCTGTTGAAGCATTTGTGTCATGTCTGCTTTAAATTGCACATGCATTGGGTAATTTTATCAGATCATTCTAACATTTCTGTCATCTTGATGTTGGCATCTAGTGATTGTCTTTCTACAGTGTTAGATCTTCCTGGTTTTTAGTATGAATGAATTCCATTTCAGATTTGGGCATTTTCATAATCTGTCATGAGACTTTGTACCTTATTTTTTAAATCATTTTTTATTGTGATAAAATATATATAACATAAAATTTATCATTTTAAGCATTTTTAAGTGTACAATTCAGGTCCATTAAGCACATTCACATGGTTGGGCAACCATCATCACCACCTATCTCTAGAACTTCATCTTCCCAACTGAAAGTCTGTACTCATTAAATAATAACTCCCCATTCTCCTCTTCTCCCAACTCCTGGTAACCATCATCCTTCCTATCTCTGTGAATTTGCCATTTTTAGGTACCTTACATAAATGGAGTCATATAATATTTGCTCTCTTGTGTCTGGGTTTTTTCACTTATCATAATGTCTTCAAGGTTCATCCATGTTGTAGCATGTGTCAGATTCCATTCCTTTTTAAGGAATAAGTTTCCATTATACATATATACCACAATTTGTTCATCTGTTCGTTTGTGGATAGACATTGGGTTGATTTTACATTTTGGCTTTTGTGAATAATGCTGCTCTGAACTTGTGTACAAATATTTGTTTGAGTCCTTTTAATTCTTCTATGTGTAATCATTGTAGTTTTGATCCATGTTTCTAAAGTGATTAATGATGTGTGTGCTTATTGGCCATTTGTTTGTCATCTTTAAACTTGAGTTTTAGATGGCTTTTTGGGGCACTGTTCTAACAGAAAGCTAGGTAGTGTCTAATTATTGCTAGTTATAGATAAAAGTTCAGGTTCTTTATCAGCATCTATTGAGCAGCTGATCCTTGTTTCTGCTGACAGAGAGGTTCCACTGACATCACTGGCATAGGGAAGGTGGGGTGCTCATTATAGACTGGCAGGGATGAATATTTTTTTTTAAATATTTATTTATTTATGTAACCTGTACCTGTACATGGGGCTTGAACTCACAACTCTGAGATCAAGAGTTGCACATTCCACCGACTGAGCCAGGCAGGTGCCCCAGGGATGAAAGTTTCAGTTCCCTACTTAACCTTCTCTGACATCACTGGAAGGAGAGTTGGGGTGTTGCCTAACAGCCTTGTGAGAATGTATTTCTAGGCTCCACTCAGCCTTTGTTGGAATGAGTGGAGGTGGCACCAGAGTTTTTTCCCCACTCTGGTGTTTGCTGCAGTACAATTTATTGTTGAAAAGTTTCCTCTTTGCTATGCTGACTATTTCCTGGGTCCTCCTTTGTCCATGTCCACTGGTATTTCTGGGTTGCTGGCTTCTTCAGCTCCAAGTCTGAAATATATAACTTGAAAAGAAAAACAGATAACTCACCATTCTGTTGTTTCTCAGGTCTTGAGATCCCTACCTCTTTTTTGATCTTTCCACTTTTTAGTATGTTCCTATGTTTATTTTAT